TTTCCCTGAGCTCCCTGACTAAAGCGATAGACACATGATCACATACACATAATATGGTCAGCGGTGGTGGGTAACACAGGCTCATAGATGTTCCAGGAGCTGTGTTTTGGGGGAAGGAGGTCCCTGACAGTTACCCTGAGGGAGACTCTTGAATCTTGAAGGTAGATTGAGGCTTTGCCAGGCAGGTGGTGGGCAAAGAATATGCTAAACTGAGGTAACAGGACAAACTGTTAAATATTTGATTCTAACATGAGCAATGAGCCTTGATGTTCCTGTAGAGCAGAATCACCTCAACTATTGGGCCAGATGATGACATGAGGCAGTAGCCTTATCACAGTTTATTATTCTCCCTGGCTCCCACCTGACCATCAGCACTGAACAGGTGGTGCCTTTGTGTTTTATAGTAAACAATGAGCATTATATGAACTAGTTTTACAACCAGCTGCTCAAAATAGCAGAATACTCAGAGAGTTTTAAAGCTGGAATATGGCCTCCATCCCATCATTTTACAGAATAATAAACTGACATCAGGTTGTCAAAGACTCAAGAACGAGTCAGAGAGACAACTGTGATTGAGTGTCTTGGAAAACTGTGTGGGAACTTTTTGCTGCCATTCTTGTAGGGTGTGAATCAGCAGTTATACTTGTGGACTGGAACTAGAAAGAAATTAATAATCCAGGTCATTTTAACTCAAGGAAAATCCCTTCAAAAAGGGCATGAGGAGGTCCAAGATGGGCCCCATATTCCCTACTTAATGGACAGGTCAATCGGTGGCTCCTCTAATGGACAGGGACCTTCAGCTTCTTCAACATGATTCTCTTTAGTTTTAGGGCCAGAAATTTCTGTCTCACGGGTAACAATCTTGTTACACATCTCAGATAAAACCACTTCCTCATGGATCTTTTTAATTGCACGAGGTTCTCCAACAACTCTGACATGGTAATGACCGGTCCAAGATTTTGTCATCTAGGGAAGGCCTGCATTGTTTCCCTGTATCCTATCTCCTTAGTAATAATCTTCTCTCATCATGAATGCTATCCTTCCCATATTCCAAATCTGCAGGGCCTTCTTTTGACAAAGTGGCTGTGTCTACATGCTGAGGCTGCAGGAGGCCAGAGAAGGCCCTTTGCCTCCTGGCACCCCCTCTTCTATGACCCGGAGCCTAACTGGAATGCACATGCAATGGCTGGGAGGCAAAGAGAGTATTGGGGGGGGGGCGGACTACAGAGAAGAGCTGAGAAGAATGATGCCTAATGGACAGCCAGCTTAGCAATGACAAAGTTTGCCCAGGGCGGCATACTTGTTTCTAGTCTCAGGTACTTGTATGGTGATACTCAAATGGTATAAAATATCTCTTGTCCCACTTTCTACTTGCCATGGAGATAAACTTGAGCTTATTCCAAGAAAGAATCTCCTACATTTCTGTATGATTATAATAAAATGCTCCATGAATCAAAGAGACTTTTAAAAGATCAGTTTCCTTTGCTGTATCTATCAGGCCAACTTTTTGTGTGTTAGTTTCTGATGTCTGGCTGACCTGACTCAGCTAGGGAAAAATAATACTCTTTCTCTCTTTTCCTCATAAAAAGTGTCCTGTGGTCACTGGATATTATTATCCCACTCTTTTACTTATTCCTTTCTGATTCACTTTTTATTTGAAATTCTTCCTGCTCATTTTTATTATTTATTTGAAGGCACCAAAATTTTCCTCTGAGCATCTTGGAAGAACTATTTTTTTAATAGATTTTATTTATTTGTCAGGGAGAGAGAGAGCACACAAGCACGGGAAGAGACAGGCAGATGGGGAAGCAGGCTCCCCTCTGAGCAGGGAGCCCAACCGGAACTCGATCCCAGGACGCTGGGATCATGACCCAAGCGGGAGGCAGACACTTAATCAACTGAGCCACCCAGGCATCCCTCAGGAGAACTATTTCTGACAAAGCTTTAGCCAGTGCTACTGTTCATTAGGTTTATAGTTTCTTTCTAAGGATGTGGCAAAATCAGGCTTGCTGAGTTCACGTTATATTTCAAAGCACAAAAAGTACTTCTCAGTGTTATACTGAAGCAGAATGTCCTAATTGCATACACAAAATAGAGTCTCTGCTCTTGAAATGCAAATCACAATGGGATGAACAATGTGAACAATGGAAGTATGAACAAAAAGGGACGTTCAGGTGACTGTGATACGAGTCACTGCTCAGCAAGGAGAGACACAGAAGCGAAAACTACCCTGTGTATATAATTATCATGGTTATAAAAGCATTTAGCCAACACACACCTAGATTTTTGTCCCATTTCTCCCCATATCATTTGGAAGCATGGTATTAAAATTTCTTTAATGGTTTCCAAACTTGTGGGTGAAATTTCATTTGTAAGGCGTTTTAAGCAAAAGTCTCTAACTCCAAATTTAATTCAACACTTTCCCTTGATTTACTATAAATTATCTTGAAGTTTAAAAAACTTAAATCTGTATACATAGTATGAGAATGTAATTAATCATCTGTAAAGCATATAAATCCCAGCAAGACACTGTCAAATTATCTCATCTTACCCATGATCTTTTCATCCCACCAATTTTGCTTGGTTTCTGATTTCACTGAGTTGGGATTAAATCAGTGCATTCCTCCCACTGCACAATTAGGACTGCTTTAAAACGGTGTAATTACAAACCTCAACTGCAGATTGTGTATTGCACTCTCTGTCATAATTGCCGTTAGCATGGTTTTCAATTCTTCCAGAACAGTGAGGTAAAGATGTCATGTGAATAAGTTCCACTGCTATATGTCTGCTATGGATTATCTGCAGCAATTATAGACTTGGATGCGATCCCAAACAAGATATAGAACCTGGGAAAATGCCAATGCTTTGTGAATTGAAAGGAATTTTTAAGAAAAAAAATGTTTTTTAAAACAATAAAACCATGAATGAAAGAGTGTAAAATTTTAAAATTATGCAATTGCAGGCTTGATTTTGTAAATGGGTACAGTCCTAATCTATTGGTCCTCCTGGGAGGGGAAAAGTATTGTGGGTAGTTATCCACCCTAATTTTGATTACTTTCTACAGAGTGGAATCAAAATGCCTTACGAAGGTGTTCCAAAGCCTTATTTGGCAGCCTCTGCTTGCTTTACTCATGGTGATCTGCCAGGCCTCAGTCCCCTCCTTACCATGAACTTCTCCAGCATGTTCTCCACTCCCTCTTCTTCATCAGAGTCTAGAGATGGGAGACACACTTAAAACCAAATATAAAGTCTTCCTCATCCCGGAAGCTCACACTGATGAGACTTTGGTCACATATTCCCAGTTCTAAATACACAACAAAAATAACTCTTTTCATGATTTAAAAAAAAAAAAAGCTCATATATTTTCCCTTTTAACGTAAGGTGTTCATAGTTCATAATCCTCATATGAACAATTTCCTTTGGATTAAGCCTTTGGTATGTGGAAATCATGTATCAAATGGTAAACTCTTTTATTGTGCTGGTACCCAAACTTAATTCACTACTTTAAGTCCATTTTAGCTATTTTCATCAAGTTTCTTTGTTCAGTCTCTTCAGCCAATGAACATGTTTTGCTATTTTATAAATAACTAATTTGAGAGAAACAAAAACCTGCCCCTTTCTATGTAACACATTCAGAAGCTCCAATCAAGTTCTTGCTTATAATTATCTAAACCATATGTATATATGGTTTAATTACATATATATATATATTTACACACACATATACACATACATACTTTAACCACTACAATTTCCTTGCTATGTATTTCTAGATGGTTATAAATGAACTGAATGGTGGTGGGAATGATCCCAGTGGCCCTTAACAACTACAATAACTCTCTTGCAATCTGCTGAAAGCAAGTGGTATTCATTTAGTCCTTTTCTTTAAGTTCATAACAAAAGCAAACAGGTAGATTTTTGTTCATAATCTTCAGATTAGTACACCTAAAGTCTTTGAAACCAGATACATGCATAAGTCAGGCTAAAGAAATAAGCTTTTGAAGCGAAGGGGTGGGAAAAGAAGTGAGCTTTGCACAGAGTTTAGTCCGTCTGAGTAAGTGTTTTCAGACAATGGTTAGTAAGGTTAACGATGGATAGTAAAAAGAATTATTACTGGCGTTGTGAGCTACTCTACTGTATGAAGTAACAAAGAGAATTTAGGAGTAACTATTTAGTACTTCTCCCTCCCTTCCTCAAATTTAGTTAGTAAATAGAGATATTGGGTCAACTGGTTCCAGCCTGGGTGTTACTAGTTTTCAGAAATGTTCTCCTCCCTGTAGCTTTCCAAGAGTAGATACTGGGTTGTGTGGCAAATGATTAACTCTGTCACTTTGGCTTTTGTATGCCTGCTTTTAAGTATGATGGACTTCAGTCTTGCAATGGAAAAAACACAAAAGTCACGTTAAGTTTTACAGTGCAACAATTTTAATAGTCCACACTAAAATAGGCAGTACAGTTTTGTAGTTCAACATTAAAAGCAATCTTGCCTTACTTAAAAATGCTTCTACCTAAGGTTTCCTGCCCTCTCTTGTCCCTTCACTTAAGGTCTGAGTCTACGAAGTACGTCTAAAGTGCATTTCTCTGGCGTTAATTTGCTTTCCAATAGCAAGTCCTGAATCAGAGCACGGCCTCCTCGTTTGAGGGGCTGTGCAGTCCCAGCTGGGTTACCAACTGAGAGAAGTACCCTTCTCACTCCCCAGGTGGAACAAGGGGTGGAGGCCACGGGAGAACTTTTGGGGAAAAAAATAATTATGCCAACTTCCTCTGTGGCAGGTATATTCTCTTACCACAGATAAATACTCAATGCCTCCTTGAGTCATGAAATATGGAAAACTCAGTGGACACTTCGATTTCCAGGAAAATAAAATCGTGGAGGCCTTGTGTGAATAGTCTGAAGTTGGTGGGATGAGACACCGGGTATTGGGGCGGGCCAGAAATCTCGGGTTTGGAACTGGGGGTAGGAAGGAGTGGTGGGAAGACACAGTCCTGGAGCGCTCTGGCTATTGCATGTCGCCGTGCGGGTCACCAGGGAAGTCCGCCTCCTCCGGGGACCTGACTCCTTCGGGGAGCAGAGTGGCGCGAACTTTCCTCTTCTCTTTAAAGCGGCCGGAGCGCGAGATCTTCAAATTGCGGCGGTTGCCGCCCGATTTCTCTCCGCACAACTTGTCCGGCTTGTGGGGCTCGCCGGTCCCCCCGAGGAGATTGGGGTGCTGATTCTCCCGGGAGCTGCTAGTCCAGTCCGGGCTGGGCGGCGCGGGCGGCGCGGGCTCCCCGGGGGCGGCTTGCGCGGGAGGCTGTGCCCCTACCGCGGCTTCCTTGCTTTTCTTCCTGCTGTTGGTTAGCGATTTCCACCAGGGCCCGGAGCTGCCGGTGCCGCCGCTGTGGGCCATGGCCGGCCGGCCGACGGGCCCGGGGCGCGGCGGGTGGGGAAGGGCTCGCTCTCCCGGTGGGGCGGGCGGTCTGCGGGGTGGGAACCTAGGCAGCCGCCTGTGCGGGTGGAAGCAAACAGAACTTCGTTACGGGGTTTGTCTAAGTCACGTACCCCCAACCGCACTTCCTCCCCTCGCCCCGCTCGGCACGCGGTCGGCGGGGGTCCGAGATCCCCCAGCCGTGCGCGGGGAGCTGCGCGGCCCTCCGAGTGCCCGGCTGCGCCCCAGCGAGCCAAGGCGGACGAGTGGCCCCCAGGGCGCCACCGTCTGGTCCCCAGACAGCTTGGCAGTCCCCCGCCTCAAACCGTTCCTGGCCTCCCCTGCCGGTGCGGTGGTCCGCGCGCCCCGGGTCCCCAGGGGAGTTTCCCGGGCATCTGAATGAACCGGGCTCGAGAGGGAAGCTGGCCGGTCCCCTCACCTCTACCGACTGTAGAGGGACGCCCAAAGGTGACCCACTTGGCCCAGAGGGGCCTCCTCTTCGATGAGCACCTGGGAGGAGGGCGCCCGGGAGCGAGCACGTCCCTATAGGTGAGCACTGGATATGAGACCTCTGTCAACAGTTCCGAAATTTCCCTCAAAGGCTTTTTTCCATAGACTTCTCTCACATGACCCTTTTCCATGTGACTTTTCAGGGGGAATTTACACGCCAATAAGAGCGAGGGACAAGCTCACGGTGTTTGGTTTGTTTCTTTTAAATTCTGCTTTTGACAGAACTTCTGCCTTGTCGCTTTCAGAGAAACATGTCTAGACTTAACTTCCCTTGAAAACCGCCATCCCACGCTTCCTTTTATTCCCCAGAGACCAATCTTACGCCTCTTTGAAGCCGCCCCCAGCGGATGGTTGAGATGAGGCCAAGCGGCAAATGTCCTCTTCTCTTAGTTCTGTATTAAAATATGCACCGAGCCTGTTTGTACCAGGCAACTCAACTCTTGAGATTTTTAGTTACAAATAAAAGATTTGGTTTTTTTCTTTTTTCGCAGTTCCTTCCTCCAGAGAGGAAACATGCAGTGCGCAACCAGGAACTCCAAACCGTTGGGCTTCTCCCCAACTTTTAAAACAGGGCTCTGCGGAGCGAAAAGGCTGTTTCTTGACCCTGAAGGTGCTAATATCGGAAGCGAGAGTCCTGTGAGCACTTTCTGTGCTGGCTCTATGGGCGCTAACTCTACGAATGCGCAGGATTCGCTTGTGCGGCGGAGCAGTTCCAGGTTTCCTCTGGGCTCCTTCCCATCCCACGCGCCTGGCGCTCCCGGGATTTGCCGGCGCGCCGGGGAGCGAAACTTCAGAGGTGTTTGTTGTTGGGAGGCTTTGCTCCCGGAACCGCTGGGAAAGTTGGAGCGCCTACGCGAGGCGGCGCGGCGGCCTCCGCAGCAGGGACCTGGGCCCCGGCTCCTCCCCAGACGCCCGGAGGGCACACTCGGGCTGCGACTTGAAAACAATAGAAGATAAAACCGCCAAAAGTTCTTCCCGTAAAAAGGCACCCACTCCCCCCAGGCACAGTTTGCAGTTGGGTTTGCAAACATCCTGCTCCCTCTATTGTACAGATCGGAGAAGCACTCCCAAATTATTCATTGGTGGTGGGGGTGTCCTGACGGCTGCCTCCGTCTTCCACCCTACATTCTCTTTTTCACAACCGTGTGCGCGGAAACGCTTTGCACTAATTGCGCAAGGAAAAGACTGCAAATTACGCAAATGTACGCGGAGCGCCCGCGGCTCGCAACTTCTCCGCGGGAGCTGGGGGGAGTACCCCAGGTTGACACCCCGGAATGGGCTCTGTCTTGGAGGACGCAGAATAACCCTCATCGCTCACCTGTTCGGGCTTCCCAGGATCCCACGACTCCGCGTTGCCCTCGCCTCCAAGAGAACGGAGGGGGTGCACTTGGGACAACCTGGAAGCCGGGCGCAGCGTCCTCCCGCGCAGTCTTGGGGAGGTCGGGCTTCTTTCTGGAAGGTGTGTCAGCCGAAATCTCTGCAGTCCAGCTAAGCCGATTGCTGTTGTTGGTCTCCCCGGGCGCCTCTAACTTCTGCCCGCCGCAGCGTGGCGGCAGTTCTGGGCTCGCGGCGAGTTCGGCTCCGGCCGGAGGGCGCCCAGCGAACAGGTGCCAGGCTCACTGCCCCAGGTAAATGCCCAGGCAGGCTCTCTGGGTTAGTAAGCCTTTCATACTCGCGCGCGTCCCTCTTCCCTGCTAGCGCCTCTTCCCGGCAGCCGCGGGGAGATGGGACCTCGGCTGCTCACTCTGGTGCATTGAACTTGCCTACACGTCGGTCCTCTGCTCTGGAATTCCAGACATCTCTCTGCCCACCTGCTGGTTATTCGCCAAGTGATTCGAGAAACCAGAACCCCGGGTCAGATGGGGGGAAAAAAACAACAAAAAAACCCAACAACAAACAACCGAGGAGGCGGCCACAGCTGCCACAGGTGCAGGTAGGAAATTCGCGTTCCCGCCCTCCTGGGGACGAGATTGGATCAGGTCGCGTACGTGGCGCCAGCCTGGGGTGTCTGATTGGAGAAACGCCGTGCTGCGCCGCTCGCCGGTCCGACTCCTTCTCCAAGAAGAAGCGGTAGACCAGGTGACCGAGGCTGTATGTAGGTGGGCACCGCTGTGTAAATGTCGCCCCAGCTCTCTCTCTGCCCCTGCCCCGTTTTCTTTTCTCCTTTACTCTCCGGGTCCCTAGCCATGGCCACTCGGCTTTCAGGATTCCAGTTTGGTAATTCCCAGGACCTGTTTCATACCCAGGCAAAATGTTGCAGAGTTGCAGGCACTCTAAGTTGAAAGGCGTAATATTAACGGCTCGCTGTGTGTCAGCCAGGCGCTGTTTCCAGGGCTTTCTGGGGGTTAACTCGTTTACTCCTCACAGGAGCCCTAGGACGTAGGTGCTGTTGTTTTCCTCACTTGATAGGCGAGGAGACCCTAGCGCTGAAAGCTAAATGGTTGCTCAAAGTTGCACGCCTGGTTAACAGAGTCGGATTTGAACCCAGGAGGTCTGATCCAGCTCCCACGGTGTTCACTAGCACGTTAGACCAATCCCTGTCAGTCTTGGGCTCTTAAAATAACTAAGTGAGGATGTGAATTTCCTTCCCTCAGCTCTGGAAGTCCAGCGGACAGGCACTCCACCTGGGGAGTACAAATCCAGCCCTGAGCCGCTAGAGGAAGTGAACCAGTGGATTTCCGCAAGGGTTCAGGGGACTTTTTGCTCCTGGGAACATATGTGTACTTTTTATTGGTTGGGCAGAAAGGCATTGGCATAAGGTCATTTTCACTAATGAAAGCAGAGTTACAAACTGCTTCATCTTCCAGGATGCTCTTCCTTTTCAAAGCACTATTTTGATGTTCCTTCAGGTCATGAATAACTCCCCTTAAGGAGTGGGTATAGAGCAACTGACATCTGAGCATCTTTGTTCTGAGGACTTTCTGAAGCATAAAAATAGTGAAAGACATGATGACTACCTCAAATAACTTACAATGTAGAATTAGTGGAAAGAAATTTTTATGGAGTATTTCAATGCCTGAACTATGATAAAATATGAATACTTTCTTTAATTTCTAAATTTAGCATTCATGGATTTTTAAGTGATAGGCACAACAGTGTGTATTTGAAAGTGAGACAACTTCACTTATTTACTGCAATTAGTTTTAGAGAGTAAACTTTCAGTCAGAGCACCAGGACTGGAACAGAGGCAGGCCACCCCCTGGGAGGGGAGGACAGGACAAGTCATTCTGGTGATATCCCATTACAGATGAAGATACTGGATCAAGGAGGAAGGCTTAAAAAGGAGATACTTTCACAGCCTCCCTTGTATCTAGGAGTACCCATGTGATCCAGTTCTGACTTTTGGGGCCATAAGGAAGACTTCTGGAAATGTTTCTTCCCTGGATAAAGGACAGAGCCTTCTGAGAGAAGACCATCTTTTGCTATGCCCTTGATTCTTACATTCAAGCATAGCATGAGGATGTAATGTCTGGTGTTGCAGCAGCCATTTTGCAACACTGAGGCCACAGGCATGGGAATAAAAACCAACATGCTAAGGACGATGGCGTGGGAGTGTGAGAAGTGTCTGGGTCTTGATGATATCGATAAGCCCCTGAAAGAACCCTGGAACCATCTACCTCCAGACTACTGGTTGAGTGAGGTAATATGATTCCTATGATTTAAGCACAGATTTAAATACAGTTTCCTGTTACTAGGAACAAAAAGTGTTCCTCCTTGATACAGTCTATTAGAGTTAGAGAAAAAAATGATATTGTTCAAAGGGGAAAAAAGATAGTATTGTCACATTTTTTTTCTGACCAATCTGGAAAGTTCTTCATGGAAGGAGGATTTAGTGAAATGTTTAAGTGATGGGAAAGTTTATAGAGTCAGGGAATGCATCTGTAAAATAAGCCACTTCGATTGAAAAGTTGATTTATCTATCCAGTGAATAGTAGGTGACTTCTAATATTATAGAATTTAAATATGCTTGGATTGGTCAATGCTTACTTTTCTTAATATTTTATCTTGTCATTTTTTATTTTTCAAAATGTGTTGATGGCTTAAGTAAGGACATTTCTTTCCTTCCTCTCTCTTTCTAATTAAATTGCTTCTTTCTCAGGTGTACCTTTAAGTGCAATAAATGATAATACTCAAAGGCGAAGGAGAATGAATTCCTAGAGGGCAAGATTTGCATACTAGAAATTAAAATAAGAACTTTCAAGGTTAAACCTGGCCTTTGTAATCCTAGCAAACCTGGCATTGCTTTGGAGTCTGGGAATTTGATTATTTTCCCTTAAAGCATTTATAGTGGGAAATGGGCAATGGAAAACACACAATGAGAAAATTTAAGAAATACAGCTAATCAAAATGAAGAAAATAAAGGTCATTTATATTCATTTCACCCAGGGCTAACCATGGTTAATGTCTATTCCTTTTACCCCTATTTTTACATTTACTCTTTTCATCCTTTCCCTTCCCTCCCTTCCTTCATT